CAATCTTGCCTCTCATGCCAAAGATCTAAGATAACTAGACATGTTTCTACCCCTCTTGGTGATTTTCATACACCTACAGAACGTTTTTCTCATGTACACATTGACCTGATTGGCCCACTTCCCTTATCAAAATCTTCTAGGTACTGTCTAACTATCATAGATAGATTTACTTGTTGGCCTGAAATTTGTCCTATTGATCAAATAACTGCCGAATCTGTTACTCGAGCGTTTGTCTCTACTTGGATAGCTCGATTTGGATGCCCACAAAAGTTGACATGTGATCGTGGATCCCAGTTCACATCGACTTTGTTTAAAGACCTAGCGCGACAGTTGGGCATAAAGCTCCAGTTCCCTACCAACTGGCATCCACAAGCCAACGGTATGATTGAAAGACTCCACCGCCAGTTGAAAGCTGCTATAATGGCTCACAGCAAATCAGACTGGACCGAAGTACTGCCCTTTGTCCTTCTCGGAATAAGATCTGCTTTCAAGGAGGACATCACTGCTTCATCAGCTGAACTGGTGTACGGAGAACCAGACGTCTTCCGGTGTACGTTCTTGGTGTATGTCTTCCGGGAGAGTTTTTCGTAGTACCTTCCCACGAGAGCAACGAGCCACAAGGATTGGTATCAGGGCTGCGTAAGCATATGAATCGACTAAGACCTACACCCGCATCACGCCACATTAAACCAGGGTCGTTTGTGTTCAAGAACCTAAGCACTTGTGACTTTGTATTCCTCCGACAAGACAGCTTAAGAAAATCTTTACAGGCTCCATATTCTGGTCCTTACAAGGTCATATGCCGTGACAAAAAGACAAATACCATCATTGTAAGAGGCCAAGAAGTTAAGGTATCTTTGGACAGGGTCAAGCCAGCCTATATTATTGCAGATGAAAATCCTATTCCTGAGCCCACGAAACGTTTGGTGCCGACTGGACAAGCAGAGGAAACCTCAAAACTACCACCATGTTATCAAACTCGTTCTGGAAGACAAATCCGACCACGGGTTACTTTTCAGAATGATGTATAGATTCCTTTTCTCCGTGGGGGGCTGGTGTAGCGTCAGCTGATGACGTTGTCATAGCAACCGATTATGATTTGATTTAGTCTGATTTTTGTTTTCTACAGGAATGTACACAAAATTTAACTCTCTTATTAAACTACTTTTCTTTTACTTATTTGGTCGTATTTCATTTGATATACACAAACAACCACGACCAAACAGTCTATATTTATTCTATTTGTCTATGATTGTGTAGAATCATAAATGTTACAGTTATTTTTTTTTTCATTTCATACGTAGAAAAGGCGAAACGTGTGTTACCTATCCTAATTTCTGTCCGTCTGTAACAACATAGACAAATAGAATAAATATAGACCGTCAGCTGTGCTGCGGTTAGCATAAGTTCTGGCATCCACTGCTAGGTTTGCCGTGTAGTTACGGCGCACACCGCTGCAGCGTCTCTGCTTAGTCTGCTGGTCGCATATGGTTCCTGCGCTCCTCGCCTGCAGCGGTGGGCACCGTCATTGAATTTACAACAACAAAAAATGTTTCATCTTCCTCTCAAAAACATTTGCCAGGCCTCTTCTTATGGTTTGTAATAATGTACATTCAAAACATAGTATGAAAAATAAATCAAAACTCTCACTACTTGTAATTAATTTAACATAAATGGTTGATCAATGTGTCTCTGAAGCGATCCACTTTGTGGCCAACCATAGATCGCCTCTCGCTCACATTAAATATGAGAGCTGTTTACATTGATCAACATGGAGCTGAGGAATTCCCAGAGATTCTAATGAAGGTTGGAGATAGATCATTAGAAAATATAAATTCATGAACTACCTACGGATATTGCCTGGCTCTGTGATTGTGCACTTCTGACACCTAAAAACGAGCAAGCAACGCAGATAAACATTTAGGCGATGGCTCTCTTCCACATTAAAGAACATACATATATCAGTGAACACCATCCTGAGAGAAGACGATGCTGTAAACTACCCGGCAGAGTTTCTTGACTTAGTATCAGCACCCAGTTTGCCTGCCTATGAACTCACCCTGAAAGTTGGAGCAATGATGCTGCTAAGAAACTTACATCCAGCCAAATTGTGTAATGGAAAGCGTCTTTGTATTCACAGTCTACAGTGATACATTGTTGAAGCAGAGATTCTCACTGGTTGTGGTACTGGTGAATTGTAATTTATCCTAATAATTCCATTAATTCCTAGCATATACCAGTAACGTGTTCAAGCGGCTACAGTTCTCCGTCACAGTTTGCTTTGCCATGACGTTTAATAAATCACAAGACCAGACGTTGTCCACAGCCGGGGTGGAACTGAGCGGATCAGTATGTTTCTCTCACGGGCAGTTGTAAGTTGCGTGTCAAGAATGAAATCCAGCAAAAGCTTCTTCATTCATGTTCTGAGTAGCCAGACTGCAAACGTAGTGTATGAGGAGGCACTCAGATAAACCACACACATCCTCTTTGTCAACGGAAGAACCCTTGGGTGAAAGAAGGGGAAGATCTTCTAAATAGTAAATACCATAATTTAAACCACTTGTCATTTAGTTTTATTGTATTTTTTGTTAAACATACCATATTATTAACATTATTTTTAGTAGTTTAACTGTCATTATTTGCAAATGAAGACACTAGAGCAAAAAGGGGAATGTCACAAAAACGCAAATTCAAGAAAACAGCGATTAAGTGTTTTCAAACACTCCCAAAAGAAATACGTTACAGTTCCAGTACGATGGACATTCCTCCTTTTTAGCCAGTTTGTCTATAATTAAAATCGTTATATCTTTGGACATCACACTTTCTTTCCCAGGTCAGTTTACATAATAGAATAATTTTATACATAACCATCCCTTGAGTTAATTTTTTGTTTTTAATTTTCTTAACATTATTTGGCTAGTTATTTTTTTCCTGTTACTTTGTACTTAGTATTTTTATAGTCTAGGCTCAATTTTGACAATGCACCTGTTCTATATGTTATCACATCTAAAAGAATGTTATGTGCAAATAAATAATGTCTAATGTCTAGAGCTTCTCTCAGAGCATATGAACCCGTTGCTATCTAAAAAAATATTTTGGACATTCCACCTTCTTCCCTAGGTGTCTTAAAATAGTATTTATTTTTAATACACCGTACTTACTATTGTGTTAGTTATCACTTATTATTTTTATTATTACTGTAAATTAAATGCTTGAATTTATACTTGACATAATAAGATTCTTCATTGTATTATTTATAATGTATATTTTATTCAACCTGTACGTTAGAACGGGTACACACCTAGTTTCTAATAAACCTTATGGAAATGTGTCCAATTTCCATATACCAAAGTATAGGTTGAAAGGTAACTTACCTAACTTGGGTGGGAGTGCCTCAGACCTCCACCAATCATTCTAAGCCAAATTCAAATCGGGCTCATCATTGTACAATCTTGTCTTATTTCTAATCTGGTTTGGTTCTGTCAAACTCTGAATGTTTTCATTGGCTAATTATCTCTAGTTCAGCTAATTAGTTTGCTGATGGATTATATTTGTTTACATTTTTTATTGTTTTTTTTAAGTGATTATTAGAACCCTCTTGCAATGAAATCCATAAATGTTTGTCAATTATACTAACTTTAAAAGGGTCAATTTAGATTTTATGCACTGTTGGTTGATTGTTCCCAAAGCGGGATTAGTACAGTACATTAATTTTTGTATATTTCACAAAGTGGAAAAGAAAGTTAAGTAGAATGTATGTACCATTTAGGTCCTAATTATCTTCAAGGCCAATTTATTGTAAATTTTACCTTTATAATTATTTTAAAAGTTTTTGTTACCTGGAATCGTAATAGAAGAAATGGAATTTATCTGGAAAAATGCTTCTCTCATTGGAATTTTGGAAATTGTCTTCGTGAAAAATATGAAAAGGCATATAAGGGTATAAAATATATATAAGGTTACATTACCTTGATCGCCAAGTGATCCATGTAAGTCCAAAAAATAGGATTACGCGTGTTTCAACGTCAAAGCGTCATTGTCAAATCGTACAAAAACTTTCTAAACCATATGGTCACGTCACAGTCTTTCTGACACACACAAAAAACACATTACCGGTACAAAAATACATTTAAAAGTAGGCCTACTAACTAATTCGTGGTAAACGCAACAGATCTGCTCGCATGCCGTGACTCGACTGATGGTGCGCCGCTTCTTGGTTTATCAACTTGAACTTTGTCCTCTGCCACCTGTATCATCTAGTTGTGAGCTCGTTTTGTGAAGGATTCGAACAATGCATTTGACTGGAAAACACATTTGTCATTCAACAAATTTTGAGCCTGGTTCCTTGTTGCCTTGCTCTAGTCCAGTAACCAAGCTTTCGTATATACACAAATACCATTAGCTGCTTCCAAACAAACCAGCTGTTACAACCCTACTTAAGACGTTGCCACTTCGAAGGCCCCGGCCTGGTGTAGGCTGCTGTGCTTGTAGGGTGTGTTTTTAGCATAATGAACATAACCTTGTACTTGAATTTATAATTTTTTAATTAATTGTTATATAGGTTTGCTAACCTTTTTGCTTTTTTTATATCAAATTAATGTTAATCAGGAAATATAATGGTTTAAATTTTACTAAGGTCTGTTATTCTGTATTTGAAAATTATTGTGCATAACTAGTAGCAAAAGTGATTTTCTACCACTTCTCCAAGTACTGTATTCCTGTCTTCGGCTTTGTTTTGCCTCGCACATGAAATTTAGTGTTCTTGAGGCCTTTTTGGTGGCTGTGTTTGGTATTGGCTTTGCCTCACAAAATGAAACTTAAGCGTGCACCAGAAATGCCACTTTCGGTACTAGCAATGAAATTTTATATTTCTTTAATACTTTATTTACGCATGTTAGGAAAGATTTTCATGACTTGTATCCTGAAATATTGGTTTAACAAGTCAGGCATAATAATTATGAGTTCTTTCCTAACAGCTAAGAAAATACATTCACTGAAAGACAAATTTGATTTTAATAATTTATTTGATGGATAAGGCTAAGTGTTATCACTAGTAACATTTTCCGGTATGCTTGTTGTTGATGTTTCAACAGTGGTTTTTTCTGTAGGTAACTTTTTGTTTTCTTCTCTGCTAAGCTTCTTGAGTTTTCGTTTATGCTTCATCGACTTCATATGTCCTTCTAACTGCTGAATTCCTTCAAATAGTCGATCACACACATCGCATCTTCTGAGCTGTAAAATATTCAGAAAATTATTAGTTTTGTAGATGACATCAGTCTTTTATGTCTATTATTTGTGTGCAAGACGACACATTTTTTAAGAGTGAATGAAATGTGTAAGATTCTAGTAATTTTTTTAAAGAGGGTGGCGGCCTCTTTTAAGCTTATTTGCCCGTCTACATAGACTACAGATCTGTGCGTGGAATGTATCCAGCAAAGCATGAGGTGAGCCGGTACAGAACAAAGGTGAACCATACTGGTAAAATGTTTGCGGCAGTGACCAGGATCCGAACCCACAACATCACTGCCTTGGGCCTGAAGTCCGTGACGATAATAACTGAGTCACTGACTCACCAGGATTTAAAGATTTAAACTCCCACAAAAATTATATCGATTTATTGCATTTATTTACAGAAATTACGGGGACATTTTGCCATACAATACCATCTTCCCACTTAAAAAGTTTGAGTGGGATAAAATATTGAATAAAATATGATTTTATTTTTTTTGTAAAATTAAAATAATTGATTTAGTACAATTTTTGAAATGACATAATGGTATTTTATTGTTTAAAAAACAAACTGCTATTGCATTTTAATTTTTCAGTATGCTCATTGATCATTGGTTAAAAAGTACTTTTAAGGGGGCAGACACTTTCCATTATCCCCGTTACTAACTATTATAACAACTGAGACTGAGGACTTGTAATAATTGTGTGTGTGAGGTTTTTTCCAATTGTTTCTAGTTTGTCTTCTTTACTGGTCTACACATTTGTAGAGCATATTTAAAGTATTTTTCTCTGTGGTGCTATATACATTCCATAGGTTCTCTCCATTACGTCATTACACTACAGATCATGGTCGTAAAAATGCATTTTACTAAAGCCGGGTTTTCCTAGGCGCGGAAGCAGAGAGCGGAGAGAGGAACGCGGAGAGCGGACTCCACTTGTCTTAAGCCGGGTTTTCCTAGGCGCGGAGTCGGCGAGCGGAGAGAGGAACGCGGAGAGCGGACTCCACTTGTCTTAGGCAATTTAATGTTACTGTTTTCCTAGAAGCGGAGCGGAATGCCATGTTAATTTCAATTCCGCTCTCCGCTCGCCGACTCCGCGCCTAGGAAAACCCAGCTTTAGGCAATTTAATGTTAGGCCTACTGTTTTCCTAGAAGCGGAGCGGAACACCATGTTAATCTCTTTTCCGCTCTCCGTGTTCCTCTCTCCGCTCTCCGCTTCCACACCTAGGATAACCCAGATTTAACACTAACCAGTGACAGAAAGTTTCTACAACAATGTATTAAACTGCCAGTATGAACATGCAGCGTAATGACAACGTTTGACATCTTAACTCACCGTGTGATCCACCAGCTGGGGCTTCTCTATGGGTTCAGGAGAGACAGGGCAAGAACTGCCGTCCAAGATGGAAGTTACGATGGAGAACGCTTTTTCTTTCACCTCAGAATCCCAGTGATCTAGGTTCGAGCCATCCAGTGTGTATAGAGGAGGAACCTACACAAATTCACCATATCACTTCACTTTAAACATGACTAGGGTTTGGACCATTCCCTTCCAAAAAAAATTAAAAAATGCCACTGGCGTGGATACAAAATAACAAATATTAAGTGTTGCGCTTTATGTATGTATTGCTGAATATTACTACAGGGTGAATGCAGAATGGAGTGGATGATCTGTGTAGCTTATTGACTAAGATCAGCTGTTTCTTAGGCCGTGGCCATTTTATTAAATGATCAACAGCTGAGTTCTGTTTTGAACCTATTCTGTTTTTATAACTTATATTTATTTATGAACAAATATAGTATATCAAACCGTGTCAATACTATTATTAATACAAACTTTAAGCCTCCATTATGGAAAAATAACAATAACACCGGTCACAATAATTAAATCAAATGTGAAAATAACTTTATTTAGGCTACCCTATTATTATGCTCTAGGCGATACTGAAAATGGTAACATATGGTCAGCATTAAAAAAGGGGATTTTGGTGAAATTTTAAATATTTTTCAGAAGGAGCAAAAACATTTTGAAGTAATCATACCAACTATTTATTTAGTTTTTGTATACAACATTTTTTAAATTTTATTTTGTACCATTGACCCTTTTTACACATTTAGAAAAACTCATGCAAACTCTGGTTTTGTTACTACCTAACATCAACCTTTAACTAGATAATCATTAATAATCTTGAACCTTTCTTATTGTTTTGGTAGTCCAATGGCTAGGTACTGAATTAATCCTGCGTCGAAGCTGACTTAGGATTTGTTTTTGTTTTTGATTTTAATTAAAAAATATTGTTAGCAAAGAATACAACACAAGAAACGGTGTACCAGCGTAGAGTGTTTCTTTTTTATATGTGTTTTATACTCATATTTACGTAAGAATTGAGAAAGTTACCAGTCAAACAAAAATACCATGGAAAAACAATGTCTGAAAAAATAATATTACAAAACATTTACTCGCTCAATTTAATCAGGTAAACTACAATAAAAACCAAGAATAAAAACAAACATCCGCCTGTGGTAAAACAATTCCTGACATCTAACTAAATAAACAATCGTAAAGCTTCCTCTTATGAGTTGAACGACATAGGTGGCATTGGACATTGAACTTGGCGCTATTGAACGTTCAAGGCCCAACATGCCATATTTAATACAGGGACAGGGCAAATAATCAAGAGATAAAAGTCTTCAATGAAACCTTGAGATAACGAACAGACACATGAAGGTTGCACTGAGCAATTATTTAATTTGCGTTTAACATTTCAAACACCTTTGTTTAAGTTTGTAATCAGTGAATGACTGTTAATTTCACAACACGTTTAATTTATTTTTACGTGTTAATTTTTCACCACGTTTTGTAGTTGATTGAAATACAATCTTACTGTTACGAGGTAGTATTTAGAAAAGCATAGCTTATGTGTAATACAAAGAGCTTTGTTTAAAATAGGGTGTTTTAATAAACACAAGAACACAAGGACGTAGAAAATGGGTGTTTTGTCCCCAACAACTATAAGGGTATGTTCACATAACCATACAGTAGAACCTCAATAACAAGACTCTCATGGGGATTTAAATAAGACTTGTTATCAGGTTGACATCTTATTGAGGTTTGCAATAGAATGTGATAGGGGGATTCTTGAGGAGTTCTTGAGGATTTGAAAATGACGACTTGCCATCAAGGGTGACTGTTATCCTGTTATAGTGGGTCTTTTCATCAAAGTTCTACCATATAGTGATTATTGTGATTAGACAGTATTTACAAGTAATTGAATAATTATGTGCTGACTGAGTCCTTAGAGTGTTTCCTAAAGGTATTCTTTAATAACTGATTTTACATTCATAATACTTATTTGAAGTTTAACATTTGAAATTAAATCAATATCACATTTGAGTAATTAGACAAAGAGTTACCCTTTGATTGAATAATGCAAAATTATGATAAACCACGTTATGTTCGTTCATCTTTTGTATAGTTCGGCCGCTTAGAAAGCGACCTCCTCCAGCATTGGTTTAGCATTAGCGCGCAGGTCGTTTTCTAAGCGGCCGAACTATAGTAATTGTTTCATTCATTCATTTGTACTCAACTCTAAGTGACATAACGTTTTTTTTTTTTTTTTTTTTTTTTTTTAAGAAAATTACAACGCATTAGAGTACATTGCATTAAACAAGATCGAGAACCGATGAGGAAATCACAGGAGATATTTTACAATTGAATGCATAACGGGGCCACCAATCGTTTGGCAAAAGACAGGATGCTAGAGAAATCAGAGAAATTGTCCGAGCAATTGTGACAACTCCCAGACACATTGTGGCAAGTACAGTAATTGCCACGCGGGGGAAGTTGTCACACCAATATGGGAATGTTCACCTGTCAGTCATTGTGTGAAAACTACAAGTTTCCGTTAGTTGGCATTGTTGTAAACAGCTGATAATTGGCATAACGTTTGCTATTAATTGCTAGAAGTGCAACGGGTATGGACACAAAAAGTTTAGCGCTTTGAAGGTAATGAATGAAAACAGTTATAGGATCGTCACCGATTATGATGTAACTTAGTTTCTTTAAAAGTAAACCCAGAGAATTAATAATCACTTAATCAGCAGTTGCTGTTACACAGATAGCATTTCAAAACATAAACAAAGCCATTGATTTTTCCTCATGGAAACCAATTAAAATTCAACTTCCAAAAGCATCTAGTATAATTTTTACTTATTTATTGACATGATTTGTGTCTAATTACCTAGTGGCTATAAAATAATAAAAAGTGTAAGACGAAAGTTTGCAGGTTTGCAATCAATACCAAGTAAAAAATGCATACTAGATGAGCTTTAACTAATAATGCAAAATTTGAAAGACCAGGGTTTGTTGTTTGACTGTTTCCACACACAACATTTAGAAAACTTTCCATAGAGTTTAAAACACACACAAATAAAATACTATCAAGAAATCACATAACTGAGGTTTGAAGCTATCTTGCAAATAATCTTGTGACAAAAAACTTAATTATTTCTTCTTACCCTGTTGTTCAACACTGCCATCTCCTTAGCTTTAGTTTTGATTATCAGCAAACATTATAGATTTGACAAAGTGATTAAATACATCAACGCCTTTAAAATTAAAAATGATGCAGCAGTATGTTCCCTAATGAGTCAGTCAATGAATTTCTATCTATTTTCAATACATTTCATGATTTTGTATCTCACATTGATTAATAAAAAGTGATGACGAAATCACGAAAAAGTACCGTACCCCCACTTTTTCTATTTCGCCCTAACCCAACCTAACTGTAGTGAATAATCAAAATTTTAACTTCAAAAAATGTGTGGTTGTTTTAAAGACTGAATTTTACCTGTTCTTCGCCTCGACACAAAAATCGCTTGCGTATCCACTTGACCTGTCTTCTTGCATATTGTCTGGTTGCGATCTTCATCAACTTGACTCCTTCCTCCAACAGCTTCCTTCCTTCTTTTCCTTTCCTCTCTTCTTCACCGAGCATCAGGTAAGGGTGGAACTCCTTGAAGCCAATACTCTGGTATATGCCCAGCGTGTAGGCTGGCGTCCTATGAAGGAAAGACATAAGTTATTTGTTGTTAAAACTTAAATTAGATAGTTATTCTATATAGATAGTTATTCTTTTTCAAGAGGTGGTGATGAATTTTACAGCTTTTGTGTTATAAAAGATTATTACGATTTCCATACGCCCTGTAAGATTACAAATAAAGGTTACAAAAAGAAAAAAAACATTAAATAAACAAATTAAGGTAGTCATTAATTTCAAACCAGATACTTCATGTGGTCTTGGCTTAACTAGCTTTGCCTTGAGAGTTGATTCAAAGTAAAAAAAAATCAGACATGCAATAGGTTTATAATTCTATACACTAGGACTTCTATAAAACCAAAATATTTATGTACAGTTTAATTAAACAATAACAATTAATTTGACTATCATTAAAATAATTACTGTCCTTAGCTTTTTTTTTCAAAACATGGGTCTAACATAATACTATTGTTTAAGAAACACTTAACAATTTTAAAGTTTTTGCTTCAAAAATAGGTTTTTTCGTGATGGTTAAAATATATCTTTTAAAGGTAATCCAGCTTTTCTACTTAAGGTGCTGGGGGTTATTATAAACCTGTAACAAATAGTAAGTTATATATGTACATCTAGAATTTTAATAAAAGTAGTAAATAAGTCCCCGTTGACGTCGGTTATGGTTCAACCAATAACTCTAGTTAACAGAGGTTGGTTAAATACCCTTCATGACACGCCGAAATACGCTCTGCGGCGGCCGGTGCGCCCCACGTAAATAACACTAATTAATAACTTGGCACAAACTGCGAATTAACGAACCACGTGTCGTTTCTGCGGGGATGTTATTTGTTATTTGTAGCTGCAAGGGGAGTTGAAAATGACAATACGAGTACAACAATGAAGGTAATTATGAGGGGGAGTTTCGTGCAGCTGTCATAATTAGGGAAAAATTTGCATTGTTTGAATAAGATAAGTCTCAGCATTGACTAAACGCATCGTTGAAGACTTCATGTAAACATAAGAGTAGTGACTAGTGGTGTGTAATATTACCGATTCCATCGGTTGGAATTGTTCAATGATAGAGTCAAAATGTGGAAGTAAATAGGAGGTAGCGGATTTTGATCCCCCTGGAATTTTACCCCCTGGCCAAACGTGACGTCACAAACCAGGGGGTAAAATTCCGGCCGCGAACTTTTGAGTTTCGCGACATCAGCTCGATGGATTAATCGCGGAATTAAACATATATTTTCACGGTTGTGAATTGAATCAGAACACATCAAATTATAAAAACCTAGAGTGTACGGCCCAGAATGTACCCCCGGAATTTTACGCCCCGGATTTTTACCCCCGGATTTTTACCCCAGGAGTTTTACCCCCCGGAATTTTACCCCCCAGATTTTTACCCCCGGAATTTTACCCCCTGGCCAGATATATAAATTAGTGAGAATGATTAATTATCTTCATTCTGTTTTAATTTAATAGTAAACATTTTATTATTAAGTAGCCTATCTTAATTTATTTGTAACTAATCGAACAGGTTTTCAATTTTAATTTTGAGATTTTAGTATTGGGATTCGATCTTTGAAGCCAACAGTTGATTAATATGACGTATAAACAATCAACTGAATGATAATTGTTTGGAACATTTCTTTACAAAATAAATAAATAAAGATAGGCTACTAAATAATGAAATGTTTACAATTACAGAAATAAGAAAATCAATCATTCAATTTCAAAAATCGGCCAGGGGGTAAAATTCCGGGGGGTAAAAATCCGGGGGTAAAAATCCGGCCCGTACATCTTCAGTTGTCTAAACCCCCAGGGGGTAAAATTCCGGTTTTTATCGCTAATCTAATTAATCACGCTCTGGGTATTTTCATTAGACTTCCAAATCCGCGGGGGTAAAATTCCGGCCGCGAACAAACTTTTGGCCACTCAGGTTACTACGTCATAGTGACGTCAGCTTTGCCCAGGTGGTAAAATTCCAGGGGGATAAAATTCCGGCGACCCGTATAGTTGGTACATAATAGTTTAACGGAATCCTTGTTAAATATAACAGACTGCAAACAAAAAGATTTACCATTCTTTGGGAAAGTTTTGGGGCTAGTTGTGTCCGGTTCATATACACGGTGTGTTTCTCACTTTTTCTTTCTGGTTATTTAGCAGCTTAAAAGTATTTTAACCAAATATAACAATATATATAGCAATGGTTGATAAACCATTGCTTGTAACCTGGTAATAAACCCAAAGAGTAACGTTAGATTTCTTCATACATTTAGCACATCATTTGGAACAAACACAAGCACTTTCTGATTTTTGCATAGCTTGTATTGTTCTTTATCAGCAAAATAATACAACAAGAGATTTTGATCTGTATTTAGTCCTACATTATTTCGGTGTTGATTTTTGTTAATTTTAACCACATTACTTTGAAAATACCCTCAATAGAGCCATACAATTACAGATAGTTTAACAAAGATGTAATGTTTTGAAATAGGTGTTACACAATACATTCAACTTATTCGCCATAGATTTATCATTTTTATGAATCGGCCGAAACAATTCTATGGCAAGTTTCTATCCGGCATATGAAAGCGGTCATGTTTAATTGTTATTTCACCAACATTACAGCTAGTTCAACCAAAGAAATAATTGAATTGGACACTATTATTTGTTCTACAATACTACAACTACTATATAGTTAAGCACAGCTGCACGCTTAAACGTATACGGACGTAAAACATAAAAATGCTTCAAATTACACAATAGAATAAAAACTTGCAGCAATGAAATCAAACCGAAACTCGAACAAAAACAAAATATTGCTATAAGTGCATTAACCTACATCTGAACACAGGATTGCGAAACAGGAAAGTATAGAAGACAGGCGGATTGTAGGCGATGTTGTACGCCTAGCATGGAACCCAAAACCCAACGTGGGATGTCGAATATGGGTCGCGAGCCCACGAGTACACAGGGACAGGAGATTATGTTGTATCCGTTGGTTGTATCGTAGAGCACTACACACTGCATAGACAGCAAACTATACGAGACAACATGCAAACAAAACAATGTATGAGGTTACCACCCTGTCAGAAAATATCGCTGCACTTTTATACTTTTTAAAGGGTGGCTGACGCTAGAAATTCTCATTTGTACAACTTTAGGACAATACGTTTAACGTCTTATTGTGAGCCATAGCCACTGTTATGACACATTAACTATGTCAGCAACAAAAAATAAGGTAGAAAATAGAATTTCAAACTCTAGTACATCCTGGAACTGGCTCACAGAACTATGTTCTTTTTTAGTAAACATTTGTCCATATAGGCCTACATAGATGGGATGTCTACTTCAGTATCTAAGTCAATGCTCATATATTAGCCCTTACAAATATAGTACATAATTAAAGCCAAATTAAGATGATTTAAAATGTAATAAAGGGCAACCGCAATTACGAAACTATAGGTTGTTCATTCGGCTATCGTGACACATTTCAAAGTTATAACAACGCAACCGCATTCTTAACATATTAAAGAGTAGAAAATATAGATGTAGATTATATTACTAGACTTTTTCTTAACTATCTAACAAAAAATTAACATTCGATTTATCTGTGTGGCCTAGCTAAAAGCGTTCGGATAGGAATTTTAATGCTATTTGTGTCTGTATTGTTTATACTTGGCACGGAAAAACATCCGCTTCTACATTGGGTGTATGGCATTTGAATGGGAAATGAAGAATAAGTTTGGAATGTGTAAACGTTCGGTTGCAATGTACTGTATATAAAATAGGGTTGAGTGTGTAAAAGTTGGATTAAAAATTGTGTAATATGTAAATCTTCGTATAAACTAAAACTGTAAGAAAGTATATAGGTTTAGGATGAAACTAAGTACAACCACAGACTATACCACCAATTATTGGATTGTAGACAAGTTTAGATAAAAGATCACAAAAAAGTGTTGGAATGTGTGAAAATTGAAAAAAATGTGATTAAAAAGTGATCAAAAAAGCTTTGCATTTTAACAAGTAAAAATTAATTTATAGATCTACTTTTGCTATACGTAGTTTAAAATTGGTCTAGTTTAATATTCCTTCGGACAGTTAGAATTACCTTTCAATCCTTCAAGATCAAAATAAAAATTATATGACACATGTGAAACTATTTTCGGCCATTGAGGTTCATCCTTCTAGGGGAAAAGTTGGGCTGTTCAAATCGCAGGTAGCCAACAAACTTTTTACCAATACCCAACAAATAATAATGACCACATCAGATCAACAGGTTGAGGTAGGATCATCTCAATTCGTAAACCTACCTTAAACCTACCTAGACCTACCTCAATCAGACAGGTTGATTCCTGGTTATTATGACTGAAGTAACACACGAAGAAATATACTTGAAGTATATTTTCGTATATATATGTTTGAAATGTAAGTATATATAAGTATATACTTATATAAAGTATATACTTTATATAAGTATATACATAGTAATATATAGTAATATATTATAAAATATAATATATTTTATATACTTATATAAGTATATAAAATATAAGTATATACTTGAAATGAAAATGAAGCTAATAATCTACTAAAATATATTAATAACATATCTCCAAAAATACAATTTACAGGAGAGATTCAAAAAGAACAAATAAATTTTCTAGATATTACAATCTCAAAAAATAACAACAGACATACATTTAACATATTTAGAAAACCTACGACCACAGACATCATTATTCCATACTATTCTAATCATCCTTGGAGTCATAAAATCGCTACTTTCCATTCACTTATCCACAGACTTATTAATATTCCCTTGAATAAAGAAAATTTCAAAAAAGAGAAAAATACCATTAAATACTTAGCAGAGAAAAATGGCTACAGGGCAAAAATGATAGACAATATGATAAAGAAGAAATTGAAAAACAAAATACAAAAGCAAAATAAAACAACGGAAAATGAAGAGAAAAAGAAATATATATGTATACCTTATAACAAATATATGACTAAAGCAGTAAG